CTTTTTATTCAGAAAACATTGCTGCCAATAAAGGCCCAGAAAAGTTTTTAAATGCTGCTTTTCATCTTCAGATTTACATTTGTGGTGAATTCAGTAGAAGCGAATACAGCAGAGTGTTACAGCCCAAAGACCAACCGGTGGACGATGATTGCTCCCATGATCGCCTGGCGCAGTGGAACAGTAGTCATAGCGTATGAATATCACGTCTATGCAGTACGTACATAAAACACTGCTGACACTCAGGGAACATACATTTGAAACAAGAAGTTTTCCTCTGTTTTATGAGTCGTCATACCTTTTTTTTTGTTCTTGTTTTTTGTTAATTCATCCTACTCGTTTTTTGTTTTTTTTCTTTTGGTATTATTAGTTGTTTTTTTTAATGTTGTTTTTTTTTTTTTTTTTTTTTTTTTTTTACAACAATTATTTAAAAAAAAAAATCTAGAATCAACATGTGCAATATTTTTCCAAGTGTCCACAGGTGTTAACAATACTGGAAAAAATGGGGGCTCTTCATACTGTAGCTTGTACTTTTCCTCCCACAGGTTGGGGGCTTTGATGGCAGCTTCCGTCTGTGCAGCACTGAGGCCTACAATCCGTGGACCGATACTTGGACCACCATGTCCTCCATGATTAACCCCTGCAGCAACTTTGCCATCAAAGGGATCGACAGCCGCCTCTTTGTCGTCGGGGGCTTCTGCGGCACCACCACCACTTCCAATGTCGAATGCTACGATGTCACAAAGAACGAGTGGTCCAAGGTCCATGACATGGGGATCTCCTGCAGTGCCCTGAGCTGCTGTGTGGTGTCTGGACTCCCCAACATCGCTGAATACGTCACCCCACGGGACGCCCTGCTGCTTTTACACTCCGAGTAAGAAGCGATGGAGTCAGGAGACTCTGACTGAGTCTTCGAGCACAGTTCTGCCTCTGTCCAACACCGGCAAGGCTGCAGCATAAAGAAAATAAATGCATGTCTTAGTACAACAAACTACTGTTGAACTGAACATTTTTATCAATATTTCTATGACTTCTCAGCTTGTGTATGAAGTTTTTTGTTGTTTGAGAAGAGCTTGGTGTCCAACAGGCAGGGTTTGATCCAGATCGTGTCACTGCAACAATAATCCTTTTATCAGCTAAATAACAAGACCTTTGCTGTTCTCTGAGACCAGCTGATTATGAATCTGGTGGTCAGTTCACAAAGCTACAAACATTACTGTCTTCTCATCGCTCCACACACACACACACACACACACACACACACACACACACACACACACACACCCAATGAATCTGTGTGACAAACAACAAAGCAGGGTTTCACATGATGCATCTCCCTAAAAATCCTGGAAATGCACCCAATCTACAGCGACGTGGACAATTCAGAACATTCTCAGACAGTTGTTGTAATGTACTGAAGCAAGCAAACGTGTTGTAGTGGGATGAATGTCCTCTGAGAGCTGTGACACTGACATGAATGTTGTACTGCTCCCACTACTCGTGATCAGTCTTATTACGCATCACTCTTCTGGTTCACCTTAGACCTACTTACGTGCTGCAAGTGCACTTATGAGAGTTTTTCTTTCTTTCTGTGGAATGAGGCGTCATTGCTAACTGTTTTCAGCTTTGAGATGAGTCTGTTTTCCACTTAAAATAACAGTTTGAGGTCTGCTTGTTGACATTGTGTCTAATTACATCTTTTATAGCTGCTGTTCTCATCTACTCTGGACATTTAGCGGCTGTTGCACCTCGATAAAAAGGAGGAATCTTGTAAGAAGTGCTCTGATTTCCCCTCACACTCCAGAGACATGTATGAAAGGTTTACTGGTGATTCTAAATGAAGTGTTTCTTGGAGTGTGGATGTGCATTCTTGTGTGTCTCTTTGTGTTTGCTTTGCGATGGAGTGGCACCCTTGCCTTTTAATGTATCAGTCCGTCAACTCATTTTGATTACAGACACAATGTAGTGTGTGTTTGTGTGTGTTCAGTGAAGTGTGTGAGTCTCTCCAGCTTTTAGTTCCGTTTCTGTTCAGTCTGACTGGGGTAGGTTTTTGTACGACGCTTTATCACTGTGTGAGAACAGCTTGACTGTTAACAAAATGTTTACTCTGACAGTAATAAACTGCTGCATCTTCAGTCTGAACTCCACTGATGGTCAGAGTGAAGTCCGAATGTGATCCACGTCCTGTAAAACGATCTGGAATCCCTGATATTCGCTGATCAGAAAAATTAATCAGAGGTCTAGGAGCGTGTCCAACTCTCTGTTGGTACCAGTGAAGGTCGTGGTAGTCCCCTTCATGTACTTTTGGATTAGTCTTGCATGAGATGGTGACGGAGCCTCCCAGAGCAGAGCTCACTGCTCCAGGCTGAGTCACTGTGACCTGACCTCTGGACTCTGAGGATACAGAGACACAAACAGAAAGCAGCATCATGCTTCTGTGGGCTTCATTTCAGAGGGACGCATGATGATTGAGGAGAGGAGTTTGATTCTCTGGATTTTACCTGTGAAGCAGCAGCAGAGGAGAGTCCAGATGAAGATCAGCATCATGTTTGTGATGAGGAGGATTTCTGTGTCTTCTGTTGTCATGAAGGACAGCTGTCAGTCATCCAGTGTTCAAGTGTCACCACTATAAACCCTCCCAGAGCACTGGAGCATGGTGCTGCTGATGCAAAGTGGCTCTCTATGGAAATGCTCTGACTGACTCCACCAGGGACTTGGATCAATGTGATGATGCAGCTTATCAATGGATCAATCACTGGATCAGAGTATTGATGAGGAATGTGTCAGTCATCATTTCTGTGTGTCTGTGGTTTTAGTTTTGTAACAGAAGTTTTTATTTATCCCCTTAAATTCTTATGAAATAAAACGACTGTGGCACAGATTGTAACTCAATTATATTTTTTCAACAAATCTGTTATATTAAAGACAAAAAATTCTTCTTCTACAGTTTTTATGTTGATTTGGGTGCAGAATCTTCACAGAAATATGTTCAAGCTCATTTTTCTGGGTATCTATTAAATTTAATCCCCAACCAAACTGTGAATTTTGAACACAATTTTAAAAATTAATAGTTATTTCTAAATTTGTGAAACATTCTGACACTTGAATGTTTGCTCTTCAGTGAAACAGTAACTGTTGTGTTGAGTTTGTTTGTTTCAGAGTCAGAGAGCCGTATCAGAGGATTTTGTGCAGCGGCTCAATCAGGTTGTATCACTGCGGTACACGTTCGGTGGAGGAACCAGACTGGAAGTTAACTTTAAGTACATTTAATTCAGTAAATATTATCAATTCCATATTTTTCAAACTTTAGTTTATAACCATAGACAGTTGAAACATTTTTGCTGAAATTAATAATTTATATATTTTTAGTGATTTATGAATTGATGTCATTTGATGTTTAGACAAAAATCTTATTTAGTTTTTAGTTTTGTCTAAGTGGAAATCAAGTTTGAAAAGTTTTTAGATTTCAAGTTTCCAAAAAAAAATCTTTATCTCTGAAGTCAAGTTCAGTTGAAGTACCTGATGAAGCACTTCTCATCATTACATTAAATCTTTTTTAAAGATTGTAATTTCTCAGATGTGTGATGTCACAAATTAAAATGTTTTTCAACCTCAGAATTATATCTTATGTCTGAGTCTGATTGATTTGATGGGTTTTGATATGTAAGTTAGGAGTTAACAAGAGTTATTTTGACTGAGCAAAGTAAACTCACATCATCAAGATCTTTTCTGTTTCAGATCAGAATTTTAAAAATGCTGAAAAACAATAAACGTGACATTTTTTCACATTAGTGAATGTGTTTTTCATTGTAAAAGAATTAATAGTTGACAGATGAAACATGAGAACTTAAGAGGAGCAAAATGCCGCTTGAACATTTTTATCTTCAGTACTGAAACCTGTCTGTTGTCGTGGTCCATCAGTGATGCCTGTCTGTCGCCATGGTTACTGAGCTCAGAGAGGCAACTGAAACCCTGTTAAAACATGTTCTGTCTCTCTGCAGTGGGTGAAGTCCGTCCCTCCCTGACGGTGCTGCCCCCCTCCAGAGAGGAGCTGCAGCAGGGGAAGGCCACGTTCATGTGTCTGGCCAACAAGGGCTTCCCCTCAGACTGGAGTCTGTCCTGGAAGGTGGACGGCAGCAGCAGCATCAGCTGGGAGGAGAGCAGGAGCCCCGGGGTGCTGCAGGAGGATGGCCTCTACAGCTGGAGCAGCACCCTGAGGCTCTCTGCAGACCAGTGGGGGAAGGTGGGCTCTGTGAGCTGTGAGGCCACCCAGGGCTCCCAGACTCTGCTCTCAGAGACACTGAGGAGAGACCAGTGTTCCCAGTCCTGACCTCCCTCACTGCAACATCACACTGGTCTCACTCTGCTGCCCTCTGTCTTTCTCTTTTTTGTCTTTCCTATTCTATCATAACACCAACTTCCCATCATTATTATTCACCTTCAGTGATGCTGATGCGTTTAATGCTTTAACAAAGTCAATAAAGTTTTGTTTTTCAAATAAAGGAGCACGTCTTTTTTTTTTTTCCAACAAGAAACTTAATCTCATGACTTCATGGGTTCATGAAATCAGCGAGGTTTAAAAAGCTGACAGTTTCATCAGTGAGCAATAGGACAACAGAAGCAGAAATGTCTTAAAGCAGGTAAGATGGAGGTCTAATCAGAAGAGGACATGAAACCCTGAAGAGGTTGAAGAATTAGAAAAACATTTATGGTAATATGATGTGATGATATTACTTAGCTTCTAGCTCAGGTTTTAATTTTAATTTCATTGTTTTGAAATTTATTTTTAAGCACTCCTGATGTATTGTTATTTACATACTGCATTATATTTAAATTACACTGGTAATTTGTACTCATAATATTTTATAGTATTATGTTATCAAATGTTATGGGGTATTATTTATATATGAAGACTTGATGATCTGTTACTTGTATTTTGAACTTTATTTACTCTGATGATTCTCTCTCATAAAGACCCCATCAGTCTAACAGGTTAAATCATGACATCAACAGAATTAATTCATAACTAATTTAATTGTTGTTTTGTTTTTTAAGAAATCTGAGGTAAAAGGAAATAACAAATTCTAAAACAATTTTAACAGGACACCATTAGAAGTGTTGCAGGCGTTCAAGTGTTTATAGTTAATATATTCTGATTATGTCAAGCTGACAAGCTTTGTTGAATCGTGTCTCTTAGTGCTTTAGTTTCAAGTGTGACAAACTGAAATAATCTCTAGCAGCTGTTTTCATGTTCTCCTCTCTTCAGTCAATAAGTAGAAATGGTTCATTTATATCCAGTAGATATAACCATCAGGCTGATGTTGAAGAGGTGCAACTATCATTCTGGTCACCAACAAAGACCATAAGAGTGAAATGCAGCAACAATAATTAGTTGAAATTGTGTTCTCTGCTCTCCAAGTGTAATGTCAGTCAATAACAGTAAGGTGATGTTCAGTGAAGCTCTTGCTTGCTTGCTTGCAGCCACTTCTGTGACGTTGTGTCCCCCCAAAAAGAGAGTGTAGTCCAGTAATTGATTATGTTTGATACAGCGTAATAAGAAACTGCATTCATGTGACAATGCACAAAATGAACCTTTGCAGCAGCAAACACTGTGGACACCAGCCTAGACCATATATGGGTGTGATGCTGCTCCTCACAGTGGTGCAGGATTTGAAAACAAGACAATGATTGTCTGGTCTCCAAGTCAAGTTTAAAACTCTGGACAAATAGACTCCATGGGTCCATTTGTTCTTCATCCAACAGATGCAGCAAACTGTTTTAAAGGAGAGAGGACTATAGGAGAAGCACTGCAGTATCAGGTGTGACTCTGTGGCAGTTACAAAGAGTTTACCTGGTTCAGGGTTCAGGGAGGAGGACCTTGAGCAGAGCTGTGCCTTCAGGAGAGCAGAACTGGCTCTTGAACTAGTTAAGTCAGTGTTGTTGAATTGGTATTTAAAAGAAAGTGGCTGTTTAGTGGTGATAGACATTTGGACAGTGACCGAGGTGGTGAGCTGAAGAATGTCCTTTATTTTCTATTAAGCATGAGTGATGAGGTGTGAAGATATTTCATTAATAAACAGTTTAGTTTCTGTTCTGTTTTTGTAAATGGTTCTGGTTCATTAATTCTTAACTGGCAAGACAGACGTGTGTTTTCAGCAAAATGAGTCTCAGTTCAGTTTCTGTTCAGTCTGACTGAGGAAGGTTTTTGTACCAGGTTTTTTCACTGTGTGAACACATCCTGATTGTTGATCCAGCGTGCACTCTTACAGTAATAAACTCCTGAATCTTCAGCCTGAACTCCACTGATGGTCAGAGTGAAGTCAGTTGTAGATCCACTTCCACTAAAACGATCAGAAACTCCAGATTGAAGAATTGAAGCTTTATAAATCAGGAGTTTAGGAGCTTGTCCAGGTTTTTGAAGGTACCAGCTGATCAGGGGGGAACCATTGTATGTACTATAAACACTTTGACTGGTTGTACACCTGATGGAGACAGTCTGTCCTGGAACAGACTGAGATCTATCAGACTGAGTCACAGTGATTTCTGCTGATGAACCTGAAAACATGAAAAAGAGGAGAAGGGTTATTGAGACAAATCCAGCTTGGAGAAAGATGATCAGCATCCAAACAGAGGAGGATCATTTCTAGAACATGGACAACAGATGGAAGAAGGTCAGCGCTGCTTGTCTCAGTGCTTCTCCATCACAGGAGAACATGATTGTGGTGAAGCTGCTGCATCCTGAAGCCAAGTTTTCAGCAGAGAGTCTCACCCTGAACAAGGAGCCCCAGGGTGGCCAGCAGTAGAGTCAGGGACATGATCATTGTGCTGCCGGC